TGTTACATCAAATACACATGTCTCTCTTCAGAAACTGTATTTTAAGGTGGGAATAACTTGATATGAGTAAAAACACGTACGAAATGATCTGGTATATCCGTGTCCTGTTCTGTCAATTATGTCATTATGGTTCATTTTAGTTATTAAAACACATGTTCTTCAATAGTTGTTGAATTTGAAAGATTTCAGCCAAATTCAGTTTATTGACACATCAAATACAAACATTCATTGACTATTGTGCCTCACCAAATGGAACAATATCAGGTCACAGCTTAAATAATTAGATGTTGGTTGAAGATGCGTGTGGGAGGTTTGCTGTTGCCACATCATATGCATCCCTGAGGCATTGATGAGCCTTGCTCTTGTTATTGTTTGTCAACAACATACCTGTGTTGGTGGATTTAAATTAGCTTTGACAAGAAATGGATTGAGATGATATTTAGTTGAAACTTTGTATAATTGATTCTAGTTGTTATGTCTATGATTTTGCTCACAGAATTCCGATCCAATTTCAATTTCAAACATAACCACTACAGCAGCACTGAGAAACTCTCTAATGACTATTAATTGTCTCATTTTCATTTCAAAATGTATCAGCATTTGGCATAGGTGTCGTGGTACCTAACTTATGTCTTCCGATTATATTAATTATGAGATGGAAAGTGTTTTTGCTGAAACAGCTGAATCTTTTCAGCACCATTTTTGGAAGCATTAATAGTTTTACCTTTTAATTTAATTGATTTGGTACATGACTGTTGTTGAACAGAGTTTCAGTTTATTTTAATCATACTGCAACTATTGCCAATTGAGCTGCTCAGAGTTATACGATTGAAGTTTTATTAAATGGCCTTTTGATGTGAATATATTGTTGATTTTAGATTGGTTAAAAGCCCCAAATGTTTTTCACATGAACATGACGTGAATCGAACCTGCAACATCATGTTGAATTTTGAAACCCACCGTTTTCCTAATGAGCCACCAGGGCAGGTTGATGAAAGGTTGTTCAATGGGCGATCTTTTTGTTCCAAAGGGCAATAACTCTCCTTTTGAAATGATATAAGCGACGGTCCACCCTGTCGCTTCCGGTCTGGTTCCCGGATCAATGCGCGCTGCGACAACTAGTGACATGTAGAGACGGAGCCAAGCAGAAGACTTACCCTGTTGCACCTTCGTTCAAAAACGGTCGTTTATAACTGACTCTTTTTAACTAGAAGATATTTTGGAGTGATTATTAGTTTATAATATCAACATTTGTTGAGTCTTCAACTACAAGACGAATTGTCACTATGGAAGATAGCGGGAAAAACGTCATGAAAAACAGTATATTGACACGGTATTTTCTACGTCAGAAAACAGCGAGGCATTCTGTCAGTCTGGGCTAACATATTGTATCGATGAAATAATGCAGACTCATTTTATTTATCAGCCTTTGTGTTATTTCCCACCACAATTCGAAGCATTCAAATCTCAACAAGTACCACCATGGACTTCAATATAATAAAATTAGTGATACGCCTACATTTGCAGCACACAGGCATCTTTGACAGGCCTTTACCAATGATCTATAAAGTAAGTATACATCCGTGCCTTTACAAATATTTTAAGAAGAAATAACGTTCAAAAAAATAAAACAACTGATTTTAAATGTTACTTTTTATATCAAAATTAAAGTTGCATCTGAATATTTAAATTTATATTATTTTTTTAGAAATATTCGAAATAAAAGTCTACCATGCATCTATTAAGCACTCAGTTACTCTGACAGTTGCAATATACATATTAGTCATCATACTTTGAAATAAGAGATTTACCCATATTATTCTGCCCCTTATAACATGTGTCCCACCATTAAGTGCTCTGAGTCATCATCATAGGTGTTAATTAATTTTCATTCATTTATTATTGCCTGAAAAATAGGACTGGATTTTAGACAGACTGACTGAAATGAATTAGACTGCATAATTTAATCTCCTCGTTTTAATTTGGATCTATTTTGATCTTATGAAGTTTAAAGTAACTTATGTAAGAAATTAAAAATGTTTTCACAATGACATTGATTTATTCTCCAAACATGAAAGAATACCAGAGTCCTTTTTTAATGTTATTATCTTTATTGGCATAATATTCAGTTCAGAAACAGATGACTGCTAAAAAGTCATGCACCTGTAATCAAATACTAGTACACATGCACAAGTATGCCAAGATATTAAATAAAATAATAAGTGTCATTGTGCAATGCAGATATCTGTTGGTGTGAAGAGAAAAAAGAATAACATTAATAATTTGTTTATGTTGGAATTTGAAACATCAGTTTAGAACAAGGAAACATAAAAAGCAAGGCCTAATGAAGTTAAGAATGAGCTTTATCTGTGTTACAATCATATGATTATTGTCAATGCAAACTGGATGTAGACATTGCAATGTTAGTACAATCAACATTATAGAGATTGAAAATTAGTATGAATATATTGTTTTATTTCATAAAAATTGTAGTTGGTACAAATACTCTTGAATATGTATTTTAACTAATATATAGATTCCTCAGTGTCTGAAAAAAAACAACTTTCTATTTTGTAAAATTTAAAAAAGGGAAACATAATATATATCTTTCATTGATCATATTGAAATATAATCATTGTAGTATTTGGCAACAAACAGCCTCCATTCATACATGAAATCATTTTATACAACATGCATCAATTAACCCTTAAATATCAGATTTTCAATGATTTCCATTTCCTTTATTTTACCATCTCTTGAAAACATTTCTCATTGCTGTCAGTTATAGATCAGACAAATACTTACATGTGTTGCTGTCAATATTCACAACATTGAGGCAACGGGCAACTTTACGTTGCATAAGATCTTCACATTTCGCGTACCGCTGTACAAACTGAAATGCATGCATATGATGTAGCCTGCTCGGCGATACTACAACGTAGATATAGGAACGTATACAAAATCTGCTTAATTTTTAAAAGTGTGATATTCATACATCAAGGGCAACACTTTCAGTACCGATTGCAAAACGTCAACAAAGCGACCTGGAATGAACGATCAGCTGATCTCACCGCATCGCATGGAACGCCTATCTAGTGGTTAACTTATAATATATTCAGTCGTGGTCATCCCTGATGTATCATTAAACCAAGGAACATTTATTTCCGGGCATGACAATAGATAAATCATTGTTTAGGCGAAAAGATATGCTGTCCACACACAAGCATGACCGTTGCCGATAGAAGTGAAGGTTATACTAGTTAACTGTCTATAGGCGTCATAGTAACATGTAGTGCTCGTATTGCGCATACCACATGCGCCGTCAGTTAAAGGTTGGACCGTCCGGGTCAGCGAACCTAGCGGGTTAGTGAAGGGAAGATCAATTGAAAAAGATCGCCCATTTTGCATGTCATGGACTTCAGTTGCGTGCATGCTGCACGTAGTCTTCCTACGTAGTGTGGGTTGAAAACACAAACCTCAAGCTCGAGAAAAGCCCTGTTAAGAGAATCAAAGGATTTGGAAGAATCTACAATAATTACATATTTTGAACCACCCTTCTTTGCTAAGTACTTTTTACTATTGTTTGCAACATACATATAATTATCCATTTCGAGTATCCTTGCCTAAAACTAGTTTGTGCCATGCTAGTCTTTTCAAAACCATCAGCCCAGTATACTAATATTTTGTTAGTGATATATGTGAACTCTTTGCTTGAAAAGTCAATGTGTCTGTACTTATTTGTTTCATTCAATGAACCTTGTCTGTGTATAGAGGGACGGTAATAGCAAGTGCCACGTCTTCAGGAAAGTATAAGACCACCTTCCTGGTCTCGTGGTGGAGCGAAGAGCATTCGATCGCCCGCCGTTAAAAGATGGTACTTGATTTTACCCTGCCTGGCGCTGGGCATTAAGGGGGTGTGACTCTAAAATAATTTGGTCATATGCAGCTGAATTATGTTGAGATGAGAAATGCTTTCCCTTATTTGATCACTTGTAATCGGAGTCTCGTGTATATCTCGTCATAATTGGATATCAGCATATGCAATAAATGATCATCTTCAAATCCAAGGAAAAGTCATCATCTTTGTCACCATTGGATGTACATAACTTGTTTTTGTAATGATCAGACAAATATTCGATATTAATACTTTTCTGGGGAGCACGGGTGGCCCAGTCGTCTATGGCGCTGCAATTCGCTGTGCAGAGTTGAGTCCCTTCGACACGCCAGAAACCTATGATTGTGGGTTCGAATCCCGGTTCGCCCCGATTATGTTTCTAGGTTTGTCAGCACCATATCCGTGCTCGTAGATTTCACCGAAGTGGTAAACGTCTGAGACCTGCATCACTTCGGGCTTTCCTCCCACATTAAGCTGACACGCCGTGATATAACTGGAATAATGTTAAAAGCATCGATAAACCCAACTCACTCACTAATACTTTTCTGACTGCGTGGAGTTGTCTCCGGATTTTTGAAATTTGAAAGACTTTTGAAACAGCAATGTTTTGCTCATGAAACTCTTGTTTCATGTCATAGTTTTCAACTTTCTTTTGTCTACATGTTACATTATACTGATTCCGGATCAGGTGACAATTTCCCAATGAAACCAAGTCTTTTCTCCCTCTAAAAAGATTCAAACATTTGCATCTTTCTTTCTTTAATAACTCACAGGAACTATCATACCACTGACGATACATTTTGTTAAAACAGACCTTTCTCTACATATCTGATGCAGCCACACATAAGGCTTCAGTTATATTTTTAACACTAGCATTGATGTTAACGAATGCTGCATCTGTTGCCTTTTCAAGTAAATAAGATTCTTCATCTGATGACAAATTGTATCTCAAGTTATCATCTCCATCGCTGGTCCATGCAAATCTGAAAGATTCAAGTGATCAGGTGGTCAGGCTGGAAGACTTGGTTGATGCAGAGTCGATTATTGACAGACTGCTGCCATATTGCTAAGTACGGCATTAAACAAAAAACAAGTTAACACATTGAACGATTCATTAATAATTGGATCACTTTTATCCTGTCCAGATGCATCAACGTATGTCAATCCATTGTGAGAGGAAGATGTGGCGACTCAATGTCAAACCTACATCATTTATCAAATAACTCAGATGAACATAATATATTATAATACACGCTAGTGCCTTAATCCCCCATAAAAGCGAAATCCCCACATATGCGTCTGATCCACATCCCCCATTCACAACCTGGACGTTATGATATCGAAAAGATATGCAAATATCTAAGAAGCATTTACCAAATCTATTTATAGTTGAATCTACAGAAAATCCTTCCATGCTAAAACTATCCAACAAAGTATCCCACATGTTGTCATTATAACCTCCAAGTATTTAAGGATGCTGTCCTAATAAGGTAGTGATATGTGCTTCGACATAAAGATGGCATGAATAACAAATTATCTTACAGCTATCTGACAGATAATTGTACCACATTTAAGATTGGTGGCTATACACACATGCATATAACATTTCTTTCTTTACTAGCTAGTAACGGGATGCAGGACACACTATCCTTACAAATGGCCTCCATTCTGAAACAGACAGCTTAACCCCCATTCTGTCACAAGCAGGTAATTGGCCGATGTAAAGTTCATACACATATCGAGCTATCACCTGATATAAGGAACTGTGAGTTAATATTTATAAAGGTAGCTCAACGAAGGTTCGTCGTTTTGTCTGTAAGCCAAACTTTGTCAGGTTACCATCAAATGGAGCGCAAATATTCAGTACTATCTGGAATAAATGTTTTAAATTCTTGTTGTACTTTGTCATGATGTTTAGCATCTGACAGTGATGATTAAAAGGAATACGTTCAGCCATTGTACATCGTAGTCAGCAAGACAGCGAGGACAGACACAATAATGAATCTTGGCATGAAGCTGGAACCCTCATGGTCCGGTCCCTGGACATGCCTCACTTGCTTGGCATAGTGACCATGTTCTAGTGCATGGTCGATGGCATCCCTAGCACCACGCCACGGATGAGGCCCCCACATACGGTGGTAATAGGGGAAGGCAGGCCCATAGTAGTACAGGTAGGCGAGTCGGGGTCCGGCCTTGATCAGATCCCACCAGGACGGTGCAACACCCAGGTCCGCTGCCAGTTCATCCCAAGAGATAATAGTTGGCATCTGGAAGGTAGAATATATGTTTTACTGTACAATTATTTCAATGTTTCAGGTTAAAAAAACAGCCAGGTGTAAAAAAATCAAATCTTTCAATTGGCAAAGCCATGGTAAGGTGCGTAGTGAGCAGTGAAAATTTGGGGAACATATTTTGTACTATCTTAATTACTCACGATAAGATTATTTTAAAACTGTTTCAGGGACTTTTTTGTCTGGCTAATGTGACGTCAATATAATACCAACCAGATATTTGTAGCGTCCAAATCTCTGAAGAACAAATGAATTTGTCTTTTCCACATCATCCGCCATGACTTCAAGAGAAGGCAGTCTGTGATAGCCAGCAAATACTCTGGCAGCGAGACGACCTTGCAGCTCAGTTAATGGTGGAAAGGAACCAGTGGTGTCAACACAGCCTACCAGCGACAATGTGTGATGGTGCCATAATGGGAACATCATCTTGTACAGATTCAGCTTGCCATTATCTGCAGATAGGAGTGTAACATAGTAGTAGCTTGTAACATTTGCACAAAATATCGTCAGGTATTAACAGATTGAAACATTGTATCGACATATTAAGGTTTTCTATTAAAACCACTTTCCAGACTTTGTATCTGTAATTACGCGCAAGTAGTAAAATATATGATTTACATAGCATATTATCGTTCTTACCCCCTTTATACGATTCCTCGTGATCAAGGAAGTCAACTAACAGCTGATATCCGGTTGCAAATAAAATGGCATCCAAGTTCTTGAGGATAGTGCCATCGTCAAATTCAGCTTCATGGGGTCCAAGACGAGTGAGTGTTTTGACAACTTTAATCCTTCCATTCATGATATTGTACTGGACTTTATCGTTCACCATTCTTCTGCTTCTTGAAGGCGGAGAAGACGGGCATATTCCGCCAAGAACATGATCAAGTCGGTCGTTGCACATGTTTGCCACCACCTTTGAAAACTTTGAAGCATTCCACAAGTTGGACCTCTTGAGAAGAACTAAATCGTATGGCATCCCGTTTTTCACAATCGATGGTACCATCCACATACCTTCTCCTACACTGTAATACACCTACATGAAGATTAAAAAAGAGGTACAGATTAAATATCCTGTAATATGGAGAGCTGAGTTCCATTTTCAAATAAGTAATGACCAAATACAGACGTCTTTTCAGACAGGACAAAAGACGTCGACTCATTCTAAGATTTTTCGTGTTGGATGCTCATTGTTGCGAAAACGTATCCTATGGACAAAACATAGAGGTAGGAATTGGTGTAATTGTTTTGCAAATTTCGATGATTCTCTGTGGAGAGAGCACGATCGAATGTCCAGAGCCATATTCGATCGTCTTTGTCCTCCAAATATTCAAAAGGAATCAAACGTCCAGTCATTGTGAAGACTTTCAGAACAAATGGAATTTTCTAACTGTGTTGGGGGCGGTCGAGTAGCCTAGTGGTTAAAGCGTTCGCTCGTCACGCCTAAGTCCCGGGTTCGATTGCCCAATTTTGGTGTCCCCCGCCATGATATTGCTGGAATATTGCTAAAAGTGGCGTAAAACTATATTCACTCACTCCCTAACTCTGTTGGGGCAATAGATGCGGCTCATGTCCCAATGATTGTGCCACAGCATTATCACTCTGATTGTGAACAGAAAAGGATGGCATTCAATTATACTCCAGCCTGTGTGTCATTACAAATATATTTTTGACAGATATCTAGTTGCTTTACGGGCTGCTGCAGACAGTGAACATGTTCTCCCACAATCCCACAAGTGGAATGTACCAGTTGGTATCCCTGATAGCGAAGTCGATATGCCTATTGTGATGATCAGTGATCAAAGCTATCTGATGTATTCTTGGCTCTGAAACCCCACAGCAACAGAAAATCATCATAATTGTCTGCTTAGGACGGACTTTACAGCTGTTGCGTGGATATATAACTCTGGCCAAATGCTAAGAAGGCACATGTTTGGATCATCTGACCATAAATTTCCCCTTTGCCACTTTGGTTTCAGTGACATTTTGGTGCTGTCAGTCAAGGATAAATGTTTGCATAGAAATAGGGCTTTGGATCTAGAACCGGGTAAATCGTAATTGTGTGATGATAAGTCGTCATCATAACGTGTTATTGTTATTTGGTTATCAGCATCGTCATATTGTCAGCAGCATCATTTCCACTGCAAGATGCAGTGTTATCGTGGAAGGTTTCCACATCCGGTCCATCATCATCTTCTTCCTGGTAATGTTGCACGTGTTGGTCATCATCTCCAATAAATAAGCATTCAGCTCAGTATTAAACTTGCATAGTTCCCAAGACTGGCCACTAGTTATACGTTTATCGCTGCACTCAATCTTGGTATGTTCTTTGCATTGAATAGCCGTTTTATCCTAGCCCTTGCATTTCATTCATTTGCTGACTTTATCATAAACAGCAGTGTCTTCTTTGGGCAGACTGTCCAGCTGTGTGTGGACATGAAACTCTGACCAAATTCCAAGTAGACACATGGTTGCATCGCCAGACCACGGTTTCCATCTTTACTGCTTTGCTTTTGGTGGCATATTGCTGTGATTCAGGGACAGTATTACAACTGGCAACTCAAGTATACTTTTAGATATTCGGGAATTATACATGTAGACTGACCATTACAAAGTGGTGAAATGATAACATATTTGACCTTGACAACTTACGGAACCCTATTTTCACATGCGGATAACTAACTACATTACGTTTGAATGCAACATACCTGATGTGCGAAGCGAGCAGACTCGGCAGCCAAATCTCCAGAGGAATTTGAGTTTCCTGAATATATAAAACATACATTAAGACAGAATAACTATTTTCAAAGGTTTCGAAAACTGTAACCATAATGTGCTTCCCTTCAAAGGTCTTGAGTGATCACATTTTTGTGAACCAATCTACATTTCTATCATAATGAATTACAGTAACGCGTAAAAGAGCTTGGAACAACTCTGTTTATGTGTGAGAGTGAATGTAACCTGATAAGATTGCTCTAGCTTTAGGCATGCTGTGCTGGGGGCACCACTGAATCACCTAGAATGGACATTGTCGCATTGTCACTTTGTTGCCTTTAGAAAAAGAAGCAAAATTGGTCAACATGTCACATTCCTGCATTGTCATGCTTTGTTAATTTTAAAACTTTTTGCTCGTTTTTGTAAAGGGTGACAGTGGGACAGTATCCCTTCTAAGATTCCATAGATGGGGATATTTCAATTGACCCATAGATTGATCATGCTCTACAATTGCAACACACATTCCTCACCAACAACAAGTACGTTCATGCCCTTGTATCTCGCAGCATCTTTGAACTTCATGGAGTGCTCAATGCTTCCTCTGAAAGTATCCATTCCTTCAACGTCAGGGAATCGAGGCTTCTTGTAGAAACCTGAGCAGATCATGACAAAATCAAAGATATCCCTTTGAGTCTTCTGGGGTTCCTCCGTTTCTACCTCCCATCTTCCGGTAACGTTGTAGTCAGATGACTTCCTGATGTTGATGACTTTGGTGTTGAGGTGGATGTGTTTGCCGAGTCCAAAATTCTCACAGTAGCTCTTGAGGTAGTCGTGGACCATACTGCACGTCAGAAATGGCGGAAAGTGGGAAGGGATGGGGAAGTCACTGAAGCTGAACATCTCCTTGCTGATATTTGTTGTCAGATTGTCAAAGGCTCTTGCGCCCTGACCTTCCCTGTATTCCTCCGTGTAGTGCCAAACACCTCCTAAACAATTCAATGCGTTTATAAACGTTTTCTATTTAGGAGACACACATTATATATACTTCTTAGTATGTCATATATGCGGGTGTCATTGAGAATTCTGTGTGCAGCATCAGACAGAGGTTCAAATGCTCATCAAATACTAAAAAACATCCTCATATCTGAAAATGTTAAAACATGATACACTTTTAATATATACTTAAGCGTGCAAGCGTGAAGTTGGGAACAAAACACTTGATATTTCTCTGTAGTGAACAGAACACTTTGATGGAACTGTTTTCTTACAAGAGATACCTCCCCGCAAATTGTCTTCCCTGTATCGCCAAATAATGACAGATGGTCAATAATAGAGTTAATATGGCTTCTTGCCATTCGTTATTCTGTTGAAAATGATTCGTTATAAACTATCAATTTCTCATGTTTATAACATTTTCTATTTTGGAGAAACTTATTATACACCTGTCAGATGTGCATGTGTCTGGCGTTAGTCAGAGGTTCAAATGAGTTTACCTTTTTCGCTCATCAAATACTCAATAACATCCAAATATCTGAAAATGTTAAAACATAATGTTTATCGCCAGTGTAAAATACACTTTTATTATAAACAATGAACATAAGCGTGAAACACTTACTTTTCTGAAGTTGTGAAAAGTGATATTTTCACTGCGATGAACATAACACTTGATATTTCACTGCAATGAACATAACGCTTTGACATTTAACTCCTAAATCGAGACTTCGTTTCGCAAAGCGCATATGTATTTACTTGACCAGCGTGTATTCTTTCACGTCCAACAACGGTCTCGTAGATTTAATGTGTATTTTGGTTGAAGTTGATTTCATATTTAATCATATCTATATATATATATGACAAATAATTTTATTAACCTTAAAATATCTTGTTTAGATTGCCTCCCTTGATCAGGTATGGTAAGGCAGGTGTGAAACAGGCTTTCCTGAAAAAAACCACATAAAGACGTTCTTTCCGGGTATGCTTTACGCTTATTGCATCATCATTGTGCTGTGTTAAAACTGTTTGCACATATGTGATATTTGTGCGACTCTTGCCTCAACAATTTCAACACACCTGTAGTGTAATCAACGGAGGTCAAAGGGTAGCCCATGCATCCCGTGAACTTTTTTCGAAACTTCTGACTTTGCACAGAACTGTATTAAAAAAGTATGGTTCCGAAAAAGGCTGAAATAACAGAATCACAATGTACAGTTTCTCTCAGAGGAGCACCAGTAACTGTAACAGTTGAAGCGCCGTAATATATCATAAAATACTTTGAGTCAACTGCACGCTTACCTCCCTTGGTTTGTTTTCATCCACCATCTACTGATGTAACAATGATATTTTTAGCACTGTTATTCTTCAGGGCGAGGAAGTATACGGGAAAGGTTAGTTTTATAGCATGTATGTCGACATGTTTGTTTATTTGAAATTTCAAGCCACGCAGTTACCGAAACGACACATACAAATCATGTGCTTGAAATGGTGATGCTATTCTTTTCCAGCAATAAGAGTTACTTCAAAATCGTCTTTATGCAATTAATTGATGCATCTGACCTTTTCTTGTCATAAGCTGAAATTTTAAAACCATTCATATATAATCCGATGTCCTTTTTTCCTCAAGGACTAATTTTATGATTTGCACGGTGTATACGAAAGAAGAACTGCACTCCGGACATCGTAAATAACAGCATTATATATAAATATGTTCTGAATATGCTTATTGAACAACGACAACATCTCAAGTTATTGTGTTTGGATGCTCATGTTCACTGGAAATATTTGGAATAGTTATATTCCGTATTCCCAGTCCCCCGTGTTTTTCTTAATCAGTGCACCGCCAATAGCCACGTGTGAAACGTTTGGTTGCAAAGTCAAAGCAAAATAGTGATAGTGTATCGGCGAATTTGCATCAAGGCTGTAGTATTTTTTAACCGTTTAATGGAATTCAATGTACAGCCGCAGCTCTGGTCGCTATCATATATTTTGTGTCCCGGGCCTCAAATCTATTTGCGTCTGTACCGTGTTCCACTGACCTCGATAATCTGTTGCATGAATGCACAGCTCACTACGGTCTATGAGGGGTATTTAGGTCAGCTCCCAGCAGCCACTGCCTCAAGCGATATTGTCGACAAAACAGATCAGTTTTATGGCCCCGTCACAGATGCCCCAAATATTGAAGCAGGGGAAACAAATTTCCTGCAATCATTTCAACAAGCAATATTGATATCCAAGTCACTTTTGGTAACTTTTAATTATGTCTCCATTGCAATATTTACGGATTTTGATTCATTTGACTCTCATCAGCGGAATGGTTTGGGTCAGATTGATCCGAATGGACAAGCAGTGTTACTTCTGCTTAGTAGAATGGATGAATTGTTATGTTTCATCTTAACAGTATATAAATCATCATCACATGAACTCACACCAGTCATTGTTACAAGTAAACCACATTCCACAACAGTTACTGACACTGGACAAAAAACAGTACATAGAAAAAAACAAGTAACTCATCAAGATCATATTTACTATTCTTTGAAGGAAAGAAATACAAAAAGGAAACTGACCAAAAAACGTAAAACAAGAGACGAGGAATCTCTGCTATTGATTTGTTCTGGTACTGAAATTTCTCCAACTTCGTGATCATATTTGAGTAAATGCATCTGTGGTTGTGACAAAAAGACCTCATCTAGTATGACCTTTTTGCCATATGGAGTCCTTATTATTTCCATTTTCGTTATTATAACCAAATGCTTCATTTTGCATTTTGTAAAAAATAATCATTTATTTGAGTATGTATTGTTGACAGATTGATACTGTTTCCACATGTTTACATTTGTGCCAGAAATTGCTTCCATTTCCTTCGATCTACTTTTTTTAATAAAGACCCAGGTTCAGCAACCCGGAGCCATGCTTGCCGTAAGAGGCGACGGACAGGATTGGGTAGTCAGGCTCGCTGGTTTGGTTGATGCATGACATCATATTCCAATTGCGTAGTTCGATGCTCTTGATGTCAATCACTGGATTGTCTGGTCCAGACTCGATTATTTACAGTCCACCGTCAAATAGCTTGAATAATGCTGATTGGGCGTTAAACAAGTTAACTGTTTTAAATAGACCTACCCTACCTACCCTACTTTTCAGCGCTGTCTTATTTGTGGTTAATAATATTATGCTTCTTCGTGCCTTTCAGTAACATCATAATTATGCGTTTGTGAGGCATCACATATGGCGGGCAACTTTGATGATCTGCATCAATGTTTTCTTGTTTGTAATGTGAAGGTTTACAAATGTATCTATGTATTGTGGTCGTGACTACATAATGCGATTTGCGGACATTCACGATAATTCTTTTTTCGTCGGAGTTTCCCCCCAAACTTTTCTGCTCAATGGGTGATTATTCAGGTATTTATTTTACTTTTATCTCTCTCTCCTCTTTTCTCTCTCTATCCCTTACGTGTATATTTTAGTCTTTCTATCCTCAATCTCCTAAAGCAAGGACTGGTCGGTTAGGAGTCAGTATACGTTGTCTGAGTGGGGTATTCATGTTAAACTGGTGCATGGTATCTCAGTGGGCTAGCACTATAAATCGCCATTAGTCCGGACTAGTACAAGCAGCCACACAAACACACACACGTTCATGCACGTCGCTATATAAGTGCAATAATCTTGGACGCGACGTTAAACCCCACCCCACCTCACCTTTTAAATTTATCAATCAATGCAGCATTGACAATCAAACTAGAAACTTTCAGTATAAAATATTACATCGCATTATAACAACACAATTATTTTTATACAAAATAGGAATATCTACAGACTTTAAATGTTACTTCTGCAATGAAGAATATGAGACGTTGGAGCATATCTTCTATGAATGTCATAATGTTAGAAATTTGATTAATCAGTTTCAAACTTGGTAAGAAACACAAATAAATCCTAGTGTCGAAGTTACAGAACTGTCTTTTCTACTTGGAGAACCTGGCCAGAGCTTTCTACGTAATCACTTCATAATAATATACATATAGTAAAATACATATATGTAAGGAAACTAACTTAAGTATGGTTCAGCTGCAGAAAATGATGAAACAAATTTATAACATTGAAAACTTCATACATGGGTGCGTTAACGCCAAAAATAAATGGTCTGGTATTGCTGCGTATTTAGTAACAGAACAATACCACCATCTTCTATGTCTATGTGCCCCTTTCCTATCCACTTTTTCACCTATCTTACCTATCTTATCTTATCCTTTTTATACTGTATAATATCGCCTACTTCTATTTCAAATGGTTGAAAATATCCAACCAGCCCCTGGGCACATGTGGATGTAGCGGCTACCTGTTTATCCTGGCTATTTATTTGCAAATAAAAAAAATTGCCTCAAATATTTTTGTTACTTTGATTTAATTTTTTTAAGATTTTGCAAACTGTTTAAGACGCAATTGCAAGGGGTTGTGAAAAGTCTTTGTGTGATAGGTAGACCACAGAAAGTGTCTCGTGAGATATAAATTTTCTCTCATCTCGTGACGGAGGAAAGGAGATGTTTTTAAAACCATAAAGCACGAATACACAATGCTACGATTTGCTAAAATACAACGTCTACAGCAGGGAACATTCGTGACTTGCCACGGGCCGGTCGTGCACATAAGACATCAAGTCAACAAGACAACCATATTCGGTTGGTGCATCTACGGAATTGATACCAAACTGCCACATTAACAGCTCGAATGATTCCTGTTTTCAGACCGGTTAGTGACAGAACCGTACACAACCGGTTGAGGGAGCACAACATCCGGCCCCAAAGTCCAGCTACACGCCCAGTTATTCACAAAGAGTCCAGCTACACGCCCAGTTATTCACAAAGAGTCCAGTTATACGCCCAGTTATTCACAAAGAGTCCAGCTACACGCCCAGTTATTCACAAAGAGTCCAGCTACACGCCCAGTTATTCACAAAGAGTCCAGCTACACGCCCAGTTATTCACAAAGAGTCCAGCTACACGCCCAGTTATTCACAAAGAGTCCAGCTACACGCCCAGTTATTCATAAAAGAGTCCAGCTACACGCCTAGTTATTCAAAAAGAGTCCAGTTATACGCCCAGTTATTCACAAAGAGTCCAGCTACACGCCCAGTTATTCACAAAGAGTCCAGTTATACGCCCAGTTATTCACAAAGAGTCCAGCTACACGCCCAGTTATTCACAAAGAGTCCAGCTACACGCCCAGTTATTCACAAAGAGTCCAGCTACACGCCCACTTTATTCACAAAGAGTCCAGCTACACGCCCAGTTATTCACAAAGAGTCCAGTTATACGCCCAGTTATTCACAAAGAGTCCAGCTACACGCCCAGTTATTCATAAAAGAGTCCAGCTACACGCCCAGTTATTCACAAAGAGTCCAGTTATACGCCCAGTTATTCACAAAGAGTCCAGCTACACGCCCAGTTATTCACAAAGAGTCCAGCTACACGCCCACTTTATTCACAAAGAGTCCAGCTACACGCCCAGTTATTCACAAAGAGTCCAGCTACACGCCCACTTTATTAACAAAGAGTCCAGCTACACGCCCAGTTATTCACAAAGAGTCCAGTTATACGCCCAGTTATTCATAAAAGAGTCCAGCTACACGCCCAGTTATTCACAAAGAGTCCAGTTATACGCCCAGTTATTCACAAAGAGTCCAGTTATACGCCCAGTTATTCACAAAGAGTCCAGCTACACGCCCAGTTATTCACAAAGAGTCCAGCTACACGCCCAGTTATTCACAAAGAGTCCAGCTACACGCCCACTTTATTCACAAAGAGTCCAGCTACACGCCCAGTTATTCACAAAGAGTCCAGTTATACGCCCAGTTATTCACAAAGAGTCCAGCTACACGCCCAGTTATTCACAAAGAGTCCAGTTATACGCCCAGTTATTCACAAAGAGTCCAGCTACACGCCCAGTTATTCACAAAGAGTCCAGCTACACGCCCACTTTATTCACAAAGAGTCCAGCTACACGCCCAGTTATTCACAAAGAGTCCAGCTACACGCCCACTTTATTAACAAAGAGTCCAGCTACACGCCCAGTTATTCACAAAGAGTCCAGTTATACGCCCAGTTATTCATAAAAGAGTCCAGTTACGCGCCCAGTTATTCACAAAGAGTCCAGTTATACGCCCAGTTATTCACAAAGAGTCCAGTTATACGCCCAGTTATTCACAAAGAGTCCAGCTACACGCCCAGTTATTCACAAAGAGTCCAGTTATACGCCCAGTTATTCACAAAGAGTCCAGCTACACGCCCACTTTATTCACAAAGAGTCCAGCTACACGCCCAGTTATTCACAAAGAGTCCAGTTATACGCCCAGTTATTCAAAGAGTCCAGCTACACGCCCAGTTATTCACAAAGAGTCCAGTTATACGCCCAGTTATTCACAAAGAGTCCAGCTACACGCCCAGTTATTCACAAAGAGTCCAGCTACACGCCCAGTTATTCACAAAGAGTCCAGCTACACGCCCACTTTATTCACAAAGAGTCCAGCTACACGCCCAGTTATTCACAAAGAGTCCATTTATACGCCCAGTTATTCACAAAGAGTCCAGCTACACGCCCAGTTATTGACAAAGAGTCCAGTTATACGCCCAGTTATTCACAAAGAGTCCAGCTACACGCCCAGTTATTCACAAAGAGTCCAGTTATACGCCCAGTTATTCACAAAGAGTCCAGCTACACGCCCAGTTATTCACAAAGAGTCCAGCTACACGCCCAGTTATTCACAAAGAGTCCAGCTACACGCCCACTTTATTCACAAAGAGTCCAGCTATACGCCCAGTTATTCACAAAGAGTCCATTTATACGCCCAGTTATTCACAAAGAGTCCAGCTACACGCCCAGTTATTCACAAAGAGTCCAGTTATACGCCCAGTTATTCAAAGAGTACAGCTACACGCCCAGTTATTCACAAAGAGTCCAGTTATACGCCCAGTTATTCACAAAGAGTCCAGCTACACGCCCAGTTATTCACAAAGAGTCCAGCTACACGCCCAGTTATTCACAAAGAGTCCAGCTACACGCCCACTTTATTCACAAAGAGTCCAGCTACACGCCCAGTTATTCACAAAGAGTCCAGTTATACGCCCAGTTATTCACAAAGAGTCCAGCTACACGCCCAGTTATTCATAAAAGAGTCCAGCTACACGCCCAGTTATTCACAAAGAGTCCAGTTATACGCCCAGTTATTCACAAAGAGTCCAGCTACACGCCCAGTTATTCACAAAGAGTCCAGTTATACGCCCAGTTATTCACAAAGAGTCCAGCTACACGCCCACTTTATTCACAAAGAGTCCAGCTACACGCCCAGTTATTCACAAAGAGTCCAGTTATACGCCCAGTTATTCAAAGAGTCCAGCTACACGCCCAGTTATTCACAAAGAGTCCAGTTATACGCCCAGTTATTCACAAAGAGTCCAGCTACACGCCCAGTTATTCACAAAGAGTCCAGCTACACGCCCAGTTATTCACAAAGAGTCCAGCTACACGCCCACTTTATTCACAAAGAGTCCAGCTACACGCCCAGTTATTCACAAAGAGTCCATTTATACGCCCAGTTATTCACAAAGAGTCCAGCTACACGCCCAGTTATTGACAAAGAGTCCAGTTATACGCCCAGTTATTCACAAAGAGTCCAGCTACACGCCCAGTTATTCACAAAGAGTCCAGTTATACGCCCAGTTATTCACAAAGAGTCCAGCTACACGCCCAGTTATTCACAAAGAGTCCAGCTACACGCCCAGTTATTCACAAAGAGTCCAGCTACACGCCCACTTTATTCACAAAGAGTCCAGCTACACGCCCAGTTATTCACAAAGAGTCCATTTATACGCCCAGTTATTCACAAAGAGTCCAGCTACACGCCCAGTTATTCACAAAGAGTCCAGTTATACGCCCAGTTATTCAAAGAGTACAGCTACACGCCCAGTTATTCACAAAGAGTCCAGTTATACGCCCAGTTATTCACAAAGAGTCCAGCTACACGCCCAGTTATTCACAAAGAGTCCAGCTACACGCCCAGTTATTCACAAAGAGTCCAGCTACACGCCCACTTTATTCACAAAGAGTCCAGCTACACGCCCAGTTATTCACAAAGAGTCCAGTTATACGCCCAGTTATTCACAAAGAGTCCAGCTACACGCCCAGTTATTCATAAAAGAGTCCAGCTACACGCCCAGTTATTCACAAAGAGTCCAGTTATACGCCCAGTTATTCACAAAGAGTCCAGCTACACGCCCAGTTATTCACAAAGAGTCCAGTTATACGCCCAGTTATTCACAAAGAGTCCAGCTACACGCCCAGTTATTCACAAAGAGTCCAGTTATACGCCCAGTTATTCACAAAGAGTCCAGCTACACGCCCAGTTATTCACAAACAGTCCAGCTACACGCCCAGTTACTCACAAAGAGTCCAGCTACACGCCCACTTTATTCACAAAGAGTCCAGCTACACGCCCAGTTATTCACAAAGAGTCCATTTATACGCCCAGTTATTCACAAAGAGTCCAGCTACACGCCCAGGTATTCACAAAGAGTCCAGTTATACGCCCAGTTATTCACAAAGAGTCCAGCTACACGCCCAGTTATTCACAAAGAGTCCAGCTACACGCCCAGTTATTCACAAAGAGTCCAGCTACACGCCCACTTTATTCACAAAGAGTCCAGCTACACGCCCAGTTATTCACAAAGAGTCCATTTATACGCCCAGTTATTCACAAAGGGTCCAGCTACACGCCCAGTTATTCACAAAGAGTCCAGTTATACGCCCAGTTATTCACAAAGAGTCCAGCTACACGCCCAGTTATTCACAAAGAGTCCAGTTATACGCCCAGTTATTCACAAAGAGTCCAGCTACACGCCCAGTTATTCACAAAGAGTCCAGCTACACGCCCAGTTATTCACAAAGAGTCCAGCTACACGCCCACTTTATTCACAAAGAGTCCAGCTACACGCCCAGTTATTCACAAAGAGTCCAGTTATACGCCCAGTTATTCACAAAGAGTCCAGCTACACGCCCAGTTATTCACAAAGAGTCCAGTTATACGCCCAGTTATTCACAAAGAGTCCAGCTACACGCCCAGTTATTCACAAAGAGTCCAGTTACACGCCCAGTTATTCACAAAGAGTCCAGGTTCACCTGAACAGCTCTGATGGCCGTGCAAGGATCTACAGGCGTCCAGGATAACGTTTTAGTTCGTTAGTGTGAAGATGGATGTGCAATGGCTTGGGGTGGCATTACAATTCATGGACTAGAGGCATACGGTAATGATCATCCAACGCTCAACAATCTGGTCACATTCTGGTGTCTTATATCCACCGCCGCTGCTTCGTATGTGTTAACGCAAATGGTGATCTCGCCCGATATTGATATTGTTAACTTCTTTAAGTGGCATTTATATTACAAGTTGGTATGTTGAACAAGGGCGATAGTTCTCTGGATATACAACTTCTTTATCACAATGAATGTTACGTTTCGGTGTAGATGCTAACTTGCTCAATAACGGTGTCATCCATAGAACAATCTCACTTGTTGACATTGTTGATTGAGTTGTTACACCACCCCCTCTTTCAGGGCGTTCTGTCTCCTACTACCAGGTATTTGTTATCATAAAACATTGATCAGACGAATAACATAACATTCACAACACTTCACATGAAGCACAGTTACCTTTTTCCGCCAGTATATTTTGAATGTTTTCGGCTTCAAAGTGAGGGTTGAAGACATATATGTCCCTGTGTCATCCAGGGGGTTAAAACAAACTTGAACCCACATTCCCATATCCACACTTGAATCCACATTCACATACTTGCACCAACTTACCAAGGTTGTCATATTGTTCGAAACACACAGGCTCCAAACCTTCTTCCAAACATGACTTGATGGCTGACAAACCAGAAATGCCTGCCCCAACAATGGCGACTCTCTTCTTTGCGTCCATGTTTACTGTGAAAGGTAAATTTCAAGAACATATTTGTCGAGTATACACATACGTTTAACTTCTGTGGGCGTTGAATTAAGAGAGAAAAATAAAAAGAATCAACTTATATTCACAGGTTCTAGGCGTTATGAAATGTGATTGATCTTTAATCGTTCAGGAAACACTGATGCCAAAGTATTTACACATTGATATATTTTAGCTTGTGTTTAGCCCAAACCTAGCAATTTTGAAATATAAGCATCCCAGGTTATTCCTTTTTTCTTACATATCATCTAGCAATCATGAAATTATACACCGTGATGGTAATTTCAATTCAAATTGGGGATGCCTTATATTGTCACGTTACTCGACTGTTGATATATCTACGATAGTTTGTATGTTAAAAGTAACTCTGTGTCTCAACCAACGATACTCACAGGTTATACAAACCTCCCACCACTGATCGTGAAAATTGAAACAAGTTGAAGTTATGCACAGGAAAAGCACATCTCCTCTCTGATATGATATTTTATTCAAAGCATTTTCCAAAACGTACGTAGATAATCAAGTCTTTGAAAGGCATTTAGTGAGTGAGTGAGTGAGTGAGTGAGTGAGTGAGTATGGTTTTACGCCGCTTTTAGCAATATTCCAGCAATATCACGACGGGGGACACCAGAAATGGGCTTCACACATTGTACCCATGTCGGGAAACGAACCCGGGTCTTCGGCGTGACGAACGAACGCTTTAACCACTAGGCTACCCGACCGCCCCGAAGGACATTTAGAAGCGATACACATAAGGAACAGAATTTATGGATGTCAACTCCTTTGTTATGAGGAACACAACGTTTCGGAGTATATACTTACTCCTTCATCAGTTGAATGAATGCTTTTAGGCAGATAGCATATATATGTACATGTAAGAACAACAAAAGTAATAAGATAAAAGGTGGAAACTTAACAAAGGAAGCCAGCAGATAATTGGCGCTAATGGGTGATTAGCAATAGACAATGGAAGCCAACACTTTACAGTAATTAGTGCTGATAGATATGGACAACTTGAAGCCAGTAATTAAATTATTAATGATTAACAATGGGCAAAGGGGAGGGCCGGGGGTAATCAGCACTGATAAAAGGTAAAAGAATAGAAATAGCAATTGGCAAATGGAAGACAGCTACATAATTAGGCCCGACAAAGATCAAAGCAATACGTCCCAAGCACTGGGCAGATAGGTTCCCTTATCACGGTCTCCTGATGTCAATGGCTTCTTGTAGTTTTCTTTATGTGTTAGTTTGGCTGGATGGTCGTGCATATTGTACAATACCATCCGAACATTACGATTTAACCTCGATGATCCGGTGTATCATAACTTCATTCTATTAGGATAAATGCCCTGGGCCCATTCATCACCACATCCCCTCGTGTCGTTCCCTTAACATGTCTATATCAATTAATTTCACGAGTGTCTAAAATGCACCTTCACACAAGGCGAGACACTCCATACAGCGCCGCCTGCCTTGTATCACAATATCTAAGGTAAAATCGCAGATCAAGCAAAAAAACTTCTTTTCTACCCTGAATAACTTTGAAAGTGTGTTTCCATGCATGACTGACAATATGTGGGTTAACTTGACATACACAATATTGAAACACAGCATAACCGATGGTTATATTCATACATTCCACAGTTTTTTCCCCATAATAACTGCAACTATACAAACAAGGTATTTCCCTACACCACATTTCCGCATGATATTTGGTAAATACTGTTATATTCAGGTTGATCTGGCTTTCACAACACTGAAACAAATAACACCACAACCACCATGACACCTTACCCTTGACCTATGACCGCAACACACTACGTGGAAAATTTGACCTATAATCCCCGTGAAGTACGATGTGATGTGATCAAAACTAGAGATAAACTGACATGATAATGCACATAAACATTCGGTAACACAATGCCAGATTAATGAACATTTATCTGTTAACATCACATATCTAGAACAACATATGGCGACAGAACCTTCCGAAAAGCAGGTGCAACTCTATGGAATGCACTGCCCATTGATGTCAGGGGATCTGAAGATGTCAACACCTTTAGATCAAAACTCAAGACCATCCTCTTCAAAAGAGTATACGACTGAGCGCTCTTGAGCAGGCAGTATGTCTGGATAAGTAGCGCTATATGAATGCGTAATTTGAATTGAATTTGAATCTATCTAGGTCACAGTCACTCGCTGTATGATAACGTGTAATGTATATCGTAACTGTAACGCTCAACTAACGTTCAACATCTCAAATAGCTCGGGACAGGGACCAAGAACATAGCTGTGTTATCAACATAAGTAACTACTATGAACTTAAGAACACTCACCAGGTTGTGCTGATGTCACCGTGTTGACGGGAAGAGTGAACAATATCCTCGGGGATCGTCAAAACTGAGATTACACCCGAAAGATGAAAAGACAAACATATAGCATATATATGTACATGTAAGAACAACAAAAGTAATAAGATAAAAGGTGGAAACTTAACAAAGGAAGCCAACAGGTAATTGGCGCTGATGGGTGATTAGCAATAGACAATGGAAGCCAACACTTTACAGTCATTAGCGCTGATAGTTATGGACAACTTGAAGTCTACGCAGGGAACAGCTAAGCTTAAATTTCTGGGCCGCGTCCCAATCAAACCCTCTAATCCAAAACTTAATAAACCAAAACATCAGCCCCCAAAACCAAGCTCTAGCTCGTAAACACCCCTTACTTACCCCAATAGCCCAAAGAATAACAAACTACCTAAATGAACACCAAATTAAAAATCTTAAACAAAACTGCAAACAATCAAATATCTTCACCCCTAAACTTAAAATACCCAAAATAGACACAACACTAGCTAGCCAAATAAATAAACAAACCGACCCAAACATAGCTAAAACTACCACACTAGCATACATACACGAACATTGGCCAAATTGGTGTCACATTTACACGGACGGATCCTCAGATCCGACCTCCAAACACACAGGTTTCGGAGTCCATACCACACAACCAACTAAAACCACCTAATCCTTCCGACTCCCAAACAACCAATCAATATTCACGGCAGAACTAATGGGCATGGCCTCAGCCCTCCATAATCAAGAATAAAAAAAACACAAAAAAATCCTAATACTTACCGACTCCCTAAGTGGACTGCAAGCCATCCAAAACAAAAATACCAAAAACCGACCTAAATTAATAAATCAAATACTTAAAAGCTCCAACGACCTAACTAAGGCAGGCAAACAAATAACCTTCTTGTGGATACCTGCCCACGTAGGAATATACGGTAATGAAAACGCCGATAAAGCAGCTAAACTATCCGTCAAAATCCCAGAAATAAGCTTAAACTTACCCATCTCAAAATCAGAAATTAAAAGTGTTAACAAGCAAAAAATCACAAAAAAATGGCATAACCTATATCTAAACTCAAATAGCCAAATCAAAAAAGTGCTCAGCACACCACTAACCAAACCAAAAATTCTCCATCCATCCAAAAAATCGACAGAGTAATCACTAAACTCCAAACAGGACACACCAACATAAATAACCACCTAAAAAAATTTTTTAAACACACTACAGGTAACTGCCCACACTGCAAACAACCAGAAACCCCAGAACACGCACTCATCCACTGCACACACTACCTAACACATCGAACCGCATTACAAACCACCTTCGATCTAAACAAGGCTCTAACTCTAGAAGCAATACTAAACCCACAAAATAAACTAGAAAACTTCAAGGCCTTAGGCGTATTCTTAATAAAAACGGAACTAATAAAACGCATCTAAAAACACAATAACCTACCAAATCAAAATCACATAAACAAACAAACATCCACCATACCCAGCTCCCTTAGTTCTCCTCCCCAATCCCATCGGCATCTATTCCAAATCTCAAAATTCCCAAATTCTATATAAGCACATATATATATAGCATATATAAAACCCCCCTCTTGGGTTGCACAGACCACTTTCGCCCCTTTCGGAAACACATTAAATGGCCTGGCCGGGCCCGTGTGCGAAATACGCATCAGTCGGAAAGCGCACGTTAAATCTCCAAAGTAAGTAAGTAAGAACATAGTTATCATGACAACATAACTAACGACTGTGAACTTTCGAACACTCACCAGGTAATGCTGATGTCACCGTGTTGACGGGAAGAGTGCATTCGTCATCCCTCGCCCCTTTTCGTTACCTGCAAGGAGACCTTTTGTGTACTCCGTCTTCCATGCAAAGTAAGCCACAGAAAGTGTCACGTGAGATATCATGTTTCTCTCATCGCGTGACGGATGAAAGGAGATATTTTTACTCGTGGCTACGCTTTATCAAAACCACCCAGCCTCTCCGCTCCGCTTATTCTGTGGCACAAAAACTTCTTTGCACAATTTGTGGTGACGTCATAATTCAGTGTCACATGACCCCATGTCGGGTGTTGTGCTTCTTCGGGCATATGATACAGCATGCCATGACGATGTGCTTATTGCAAGATATTTGTGACAGAACACTTTCAAGGGATATCTACATTGCGTTTTGGATGGTATCGCTTACCGGTTAGTGTTGACATTAGTTAGTTCAACACGCAGAAGTGTAAAATCTACATTATAATGGGTCGACGGGTCATTGGACAATACGACCGAATATTGTGCTGTGGCGTCATTATTTATGAAACTATCAGGATAAGGTTATTTGTGATTATAGTGTTTGGTTGGCCAGTGATTTATACAGGTGCTAGTATGCCCTGTTTAATCTTGTTGTAAGGGGCGACTAAGGGTATCGGGTGGTCAGGCCCGCTGGCTTTGTTGATGCATGTCATCGTATCCCAAATGCGTGGATCGATGCTCATGATGTCAATCACTGGATTGTCTGGTCCAGACTTGATTATTTACAGACACCGTCATACAGCTGGAATACGGCTGAGTGCGGCGTTAAACAAGAAACAAACAAACTTTACAGAACCACACACCAGCCCTGTTGTTTTCTCAAGACACATCACATTATATTGAGAAGGAAGTGATGTTTGGATCCATTGTGGCACATTTTGTGAACGACCCATTTCATGGCAAGCTGATTATTTCACCAGAGTGTTCCGACAAAGCACTGTTATTGATTTGATTCTTTTCAGTCAAATATTCAGTCAAGTCTTAATTACATTTATTTAAAGGAGGACTATCGTTTACAGTACCCAACAGCTGATGGGTTTGCAGCAATTGTCACATCTTCCCGAGGCAAGAGAGTTAACTGACTTTAAAAGTCCAGTTTCCACCCTTGCCGAACTAGGCTGGAATTCCTGGGCTCGATCGTAGCGCCACCAGTGGCTATTACGAGTTATGTCCTTTCTATGCCTCTCCTATTGACCAATCAGATTCAACCTCTCGTATCACTTGCATTTGTTTCAAACGAAACGGTGGCGCCCAGTCAAGACGATCTGATCGATAATCAAGATCTATATTGTGATAAAACGAGTCTTACATCGCGAAGTGCATCAAATCACGTGAGCACCTAGATTAAAAACATGAAAAGATATATCTGTTGACAACGAGTTAGCGGTGCAAATCCTGCAGTCGACCGAAATCTGCATGACACTCTACGAACCGGATTTCGATTTCGGTGCGCGATTTTGATTGGACTCGTTAGTCCAGCCAAACTGTAACTCCATAATTCCGACCTAGTTCGGCAAGGGTGGAAACTGGACTTTTATAGTCAGTTAACTCACTTGCCTCGGGAAGATGCAATGGTCATGGCTGGAGGACCTGGGGTTCTCATGTATAAGCGTGATTTGAGCAAACCCTTTCTATAGTTACCAGTTGATCCACATAATTACAATTCACATAGAACGGTGCCTACTACTTGAATACTGCAGTGCCCTTCGGATTAAGGAGTTGTCCCATGTGTTGTCAGAGAACAACTTCAGCAGTGACTTGCATCATGGAGCAGGACTACTTTATAGTTGTGAAAGTCTTTGATATTGGCGGTGTTGAGAAACCTGGTCTAGCTTGGAAGGCTTTTGATAGGCTGAGACATTTAATGAACTAGGCATTGTAGAATCTGAGACCAAAGCGGTGAATCCCACCACAAAAATTATATTTCTTGGCATAGTAGAAGATGGGCATTTTTGAGGTGACCCCTCAACGCTGACATAACCTTCAGGTCAACCCGAGTGATTGGTCAGGTCAACGTAAGGCATCTGAACGGCATTTGTTGGGTAGTTGAACGTTTTTGCTAAATGTGTGAAACCGGGTCGACTTCTTATGTCTAGGCTCTTGTGCACTCTTATCGGGTAGCCTAGTGGTTAAAGCGTTCGCTCGTCACGTCGAAGATCCGGGTTCGAATCCCGACATGGGGTACAACGTGTGAAGCCCATTTCTGATGTACCCCGCCGTGATATTGCTGGAATATTGCTAAAAAGCGGCGTAAAACCATACTCACGAATTCGTTCACTTGTGCACTCTTAAATCACTGAAACGGAACAATCATAGAGCGAGCACACCACAATGCTGAATTTTGAGTCCAGTCCGAGATTCGAACTCACACAGCCAGAGTGAGGCACCTAATCACCCGCACACAAATTTAGCGATCTAACCAACTCAGCCACCGAGGCTACCATAAACATGAAAGTCCGACAACTGGTAGTCTAGATCACAAGCCCCTCTGACAACTGGTAGTCTAGGTCACAAGCCCCTCTGACAACTGGTAGTCTAGATCACAAGCCCCTCTGACAACTGGTAGTCTAGATCACAAGCCCCTCTGACAACTGGTAGTCCAGATCACAAGCCCCTCTGACAACTGGTAGTCTAGGTCACAAGCCCCTCTGACAACTGGTAGTCTAGATCACAAGCCCCTCTGACAACTGGTAGTCTAGATCACAAGCCCCTCTGACAACTGGTAGTCTAGATCACAAGCCCCTCTGACAACTGGTAGTCTAGATCACAAGCCCCTCTGACAACTGGTAGTCTAGGTCACAAGCCCCTCTGACAACTGGTAGTCTAGATCACAAGCCCCTCTGACAACTGGTAGTCTAGATCACAAGCCCCTCTGACAACTGGTAGTCTAGATCACAAGCCCCTCTGACAACTGGTAGTCTAGATCACAAGCCCCTCTGACAACTGGTAGTCTAGATCACATGCCCCTCTGACAACTGGTAGTCTAGATCACAAGCCCCTCTGACAACTGGTAGTCTAGATCACAAGCCCCTCTGACAACTGGTAGTCTAGGTCACAAGCCCCTCTGACAACTGGTAGTCTAGATCACAAGCCCCTCTGACAACTGGTAGTCTAGGTCACAAGCCCCTCTGACAACTGGTAGTCTAGATCGCAAGCCCCTCTGACAACTGGTAGTCTAGGTCACAAGCCCCTCTGACAACTGGTAGTCTAGATCACAAGCCCCTCTGACAACTGGTAGTCTAGATTACATGCCCCTCTGACAACTGGTAGTCTAGATCACAAGCCCCTCTGACAACTGGTAGTCTAGGTCACAAGCCCCTCTGACAACTGGTAGTCTAGGTCACAAGCCCCTCTGACAACTGGTAGTCTAGGTCACAAGCCCCTCTTACAACTGGTAGTCTAGATCACAAGCCCCTCTGACAACTGGTAGTCTAGATCACAAGCCCCTCTGACAACTGGTAGTCTAGATCACAAGCCCCTCTGACAACTGGTAGTCTAGATCACAAGCCCCTCTGACAACTGGTAGCCTAGGTCACAAGCCCCTCTGATAACTGGTAGTCTAGATCACAAGCCCCTCTGACAACTGGTAGTCTAGATCACAAGCCCCTCTGACAACTGGTAGTCTAGATCACAAGCCCCTCTGACAACTGGTAGTCTAGATCACAAGCCCCTCTAACAACTGGTAGTCTAGATCACAAGCCCCTCTGACAACTGGTAGTCTAGATCACAAGCCCCTCTGACAACTGGTAGTCTAGATCACATGCCCCTCTGACAACTGGTGGTCTAGATCACAAGCCCCTCTAACAACTGGTAGTCTAGATCACAAGCCCCTCTGACAACTGGTGGTCTAGATCACAAGCCCCTCTGACAACTGGTAGTCTAGATCACAAGCCCCTCTGACAACTGGTAGTCTAGGTCACAAGCCCCTATGACAACTGGTAGTCTAGATCACAAGCCCCTCTAACAACTGGTAGTCTAGATCACAAGCCCCTCTGACAACTGGTGGTCTAGATCACAAGCACTTCTAACAACTGGTAGTCTAGATCACAAGCCCCTCTGACAACTGGTGGTCTAGATCACAAGCCCCTCTGACAACTGGTAGTCTAGATCACAAGCCCCTCTGACAACTGGTAGTCTAGGTCACAAGCCCCTATGACAACTGGTAGTCTAGATCACAAGCCCCTCTAACAACTGGTAGTCTAGATCACAAGCCCCTCTGACAACTGGTAGTCTAGATCACAAGCCCCTCTAACAACTGGTAGTCTAGATCACAAGCCCCTCTGACAACTGGTAGTCTAGATCACAAGCCCCTCTAACAACTGGTAGTCTAGATCACAAGCCCCTATGACAACTGGTAGTCTAGATCACAAGCCCCTCTGACAACTGGTAGTCTAGATCACAAGCCCCTCTGACAACTGGTAGTCTAGATCACAAGCCCCTCTGACAACTGGTAGTCTAGATCACAAGCCCCTATGACAACTGGTAGTCTAGATCACAAGCCCCTCTGACAACTGGTAGTCTAGATCACAAGCCCCTCTGACAACTGGTAGTCTAGATCACAAACCCCTCTGACAACTGGTAGTCTAGATCACAAGCCCCTCTGACAACTGGTAGTCTAGATCACAAGCCCCTCTGACAACTGGTAGTCTAGATCACAAGCCCCTATGACAACTGGTAGTCTAGATCACAAGCCCCTCTAACAAGTGTAAATTGGCATGGCTCCCATGGCCGAAGGCCGTGAACACACAATGCCATATCTGTGAATATGCAAACTAATTTCAGGAAACACACTGAACCCAATAAAAGCATCATATGCTCGTGAAACTCCCGTGATGCATTGCGGTCCACGAGTCATGTCAACAGTCGGCAATCTCAAAATATCCATTTTGTTCTGGTGTCGTCATCACTATGGCGTAAATTTCACGATTAATCTTGTTAGAGTTCTGTAAGTCCAGTTTCCGTCAAAAGACGCAATATTTTCATCGAAAGTGACAGCGACACCGACTACAAAGTACTGTTGTGACATATACGCCTGAGTGACGTTCCGCAAGTGAGAGCGTGGCATGGTCAAACAAAGAAACAAAGAAACAAACAAACAAACTGTAGCGCTAAGTTTGCGTTGTGGAACCAAGGGTTCAAAAGTCTAGCCCATGGTCCCTTGTGTGTTGATCTACTTTCAAATGCTGGCGATCTACAGCCCGTTTTTATTTTGTGTTGTTGAATGCGTATTTATCATACATGCTCTCAAACTAGTTATTATAATGTCCTTCGCCGACAGAATTTTATTCAGTTTAAATATATATTATTAATGTCAAATTTTGTCTCGTCACGATATGGCTGAAAAATTGCCGATGTGACATAAACTTTAACTCACTCACTCAAAAGTCGAGCAACGACAATTTAATCCAAAAATAGTTAAATCCCAACTAAGGTATTCCCAACATTCCAGTTTCTTCCTGAGGATCCGGGGTAGAATAGGTCTTCAGCAACCCATGTTTGCCGTAAAAGGCGACTACTTTTGTCGGAAGAGGCAACTAACGGGATCGGGTGGTCAGGCTCTCTGAATCCCAATTGCGTGGATCGATGCTCATGATATCAATCACTGGCGTGTCTGGTCCAGACTCGATTATTTACTGACCGCCGTTATATAGCTGGAACATTGTTGTGTGCGGCGTTAAACAACAAACGAAACAAGTTCCTTCTGTTTCAATAATTTTCCAGATTGATGGCAGTCATGATAATACAGTAATACATACGAAAGACAAACATGATGTTTATTTATTATTGTCCAACATCCAGAAAACATACAAATGTTGGTGTTTGTACAATACACAGATAAGAAAACTCTGAGTTGGTGGAAAGAGAAGACCCGCATGACACTTTACTGGGGGATGTTTGTACTGTTGACTGTAATTGATGGTATGCTTGAAGTGAGGTCACATAACAAAAGGAATAATGTTGCCCATTGTTTGGCAATTTCATTCATCGAACGATTGGGGAAGAACAACATAATACTCCCTCGAAAGCTTACACAAATCAATCTGTAGATTACGCGTTGTCTGTTAGCACCTGAGGGAAGAAAAATGATATTTCTTTCCTAAAGTATTTAAGTAACTTTCATGCACTTTGAAAACATATTTCTCCAATTGAATTAACGCCTGAAGTTCATAATCGTAATATTATTGCCGCGAAAATCAATAGAAAACAGCGTCAGAAATTAGCACTAGTCCTAGTCCTTGACAACCTGCCAAATAGTTAAGGTATCCTAAAAGGAGAAATTTGCCATTTTTAAGGGTTTTGCTATATGTTTTCATTTTAAGGACTAGCTGAAACTGTTAGTTTCTACAGCTGGAAAAGATCCCCAGGGGAAGTGTTGCATGAAGAAATGTACTGTTTTGCTATGCTATGACCATATATAAAACCAATCCACATTGTACACTTATGTCTGAGGAATTATCATGAAAAAGTAGAAACAGTCACAATGAGATCAATTTGGCTTGAAAGCCGATGTGAACAGTATTTCAGTTGTGTTAGTGCGTGTCAGCTTGATGTTGCAGAAAGTCCAAATGATGAAGGCCGTAAATGTTTTCCGCCCATGGAAACCCACATGCACAGGTATGGTCCTGACTGACCAAAGATTATGACAGGTCGAATGTGGGTTTCCAACATTGCTCATTGAATCAGCTGCTGGTCACCCTGTTCCCCAATTAGCTTCACGACAAAAACTGCTGAGGGTGAATATTATAAGACCATGATTTCAAAATATAGTAAATAGTTGAAAAATAAGCCCGTCTGAACAGTACATCAATCATATCACGGCGTTATACATAATAGAGTGGGCTTAGACGTATAATATGTCGTTGTTATTTAATACCATATGTTTTACAGTGCAATTTTGCAAATGGGTAACTTCAATTTAACATCCTGAAAATTCTTTGAATATTGTATAATACATTAATGTATCCTACCTTTTCATATCCAAACACAATAGTCACAAAATGCACAATACAATGCACATAATCAGTACAGCATCAAGATGTTACGACTGTTACCAGAGGCCAGTCATAATAGTTACGTAAATATTATAGCAACATGGTCTGCATTTTCCATTGTGGTGACTGACTGGATGGCTGGAGTACACACAGAGATGAAGACCTACACACATTGTACGTTGTACATTGCAAACACTGGAAATGCCTTATATACGACTGAATGTTCTTCTGTTCACTTGCCATGCAAATACTATAATCAGTCATGCAATGCTATTGCCATGTACACGGAATCCAACTGTTGCTTTAATGCTCCATCGTGACGTTGGTTTTGTTTATTGAGTTGGAATATCTAAAAACCCGATGCATGTCGTGTTCAGAAGGAGTAGAATGCATATTGAGGCAAAACTGATCATTCACGACAACACATTGTCATGCCAACATCAAATGAAAAAAACCATGAATAGATCCTTTAAAACAGGAGCATTTATATGTAGACAAATTGGGTTGACATTTGTAACTAATGTACATGTATTTATGACTGAATTCACACTTGAAGACTATTTGTATTCGTCCTCTATCTCGCTGAAGAATTTTTTTTATCAACATTTGTCGTTCTTTTTTATCTATGAACCTTTGTCCTTATCACGCTTGTTTACGAAGACTTAGGTCTACATCAACCGATTACCATTTGGTTATTGACAGAGAATAAGAGTCACGACGTGTGCTACAGAATGGAGGCCATTTTGAAAAGATAACATGTAACGTGATAAGAAACAGTCCGAATCGGGAGAGACCTCGCAGACCACTGTGTCCACTTTTCTATTAAAGGTTGCGATGCACTAGTTAATGAAGTGTCATATAATATCTAGACAGTGTTGCACAGTCTCTTGAAGTATTATGCCAACATCATAATACCAAACAACTTTATACTTAAACGTCTACAAACTGTCATATAAAAGAATCTGATCATTCGCACAAGCACCCTGATATAAACTTTACATTCGTGCGAACATGCAATATTTGCTCTTTTTGTTCTTGAAAATGAATATGGTTGGAGACAATTTATTGGATAGTGAATATCGTTGTCCTGTCACAGACAATGTTGACAATCTCACCCCTTTGCTTACACTTGAACGAAAACACTTCTGCAACAAACACGAAGGATATAAAGAGATGATGGCAAGGAAGATCCAACAAGTCGCACGGTATAAATACTTGTTAAACACAGTATCTTTAAGAAATACAACAAATTCGACAAAATAAGTTTATAAAAACAAGGAAGGAAACACACATTTCTGGAGACTACGAAAGTATTGTGAAGTTTCATTTTGGGCGATAAGTTCTCATCCTCAAAGGATAGTATTGCCCCATGTATTCATCCCTGTCCCTCGTTCCTTGACGTAGTCTTTGATACTGTAATGCTCACGCTATTCCTCGTGTTGATGTTGATGTCCGCCCCATTTTAAACAACCTTTTAGCATATGAGCTCTCATTTTCTTCGGCCCTCGACTGAAGCCATTGACTTATTTATCTGCCCCGAATGAAATAAGATATAATGTTATAAGCTCACGGAAACCTATTTCTTGAGAAAGTTTTTTGATCCCATTGTTAATTGTCGGAGCCATAAGCTACATGTATAACAGTAACAGTTTACTGCATGAGAGCTCTCCGGTATAGGACTCAACTCAACAGAGATGTGTCGTTTCTGGACGAATACAGACGGTAGTAGCAGTACAGATGTTGTGGCGTTACTTGATGATGTTAGTAACAAAGGCGAGAAATTCAGAGAATGATGGCCTCTCAATTGGATAGCATGCATCTGTTTTAAATTTGTCGATTTGAATCAAATTCCAATTGTGGTTAAAAAGATGCAAATAATTTCGTCCAGAATCTGATCAAAGCTTGGACAGAAAGCAATCCTTCAGCATGTTGTGGTTCATTATCTCGTAACAGGTCCAAGTTTCTGGTCTCGTTTGTGCACTTATTTAATGTCAAACACCACACGCGCTATCAGCAGTTGGACATCGATCTACCAGAAATCTCATCATGTTATATGGCACTCCCTGGAAACCATCCCATATATGTCATTGCTGAAGGACTATTCATGCAGATAAAATATCCATTAGGGCCCTGTGATGGATGGACACACAGATACATAGTTGCAACATTTGATACTGATGTTGTCTCGGTATTTCCTTTCTGAATAACACAGCTCACATTTGAAACCCACGAACACACTTGAGTTGCTACCTGTACGGCAGGATATGCTAACACTTTTCATCATCACTGATTTTCAGTGATCCATTCATATTATGTTCACCGCCGTTATGCCCAATGGAATCTGCTCCGTCGGATAATTGAGACCAGTTATTCTCTGGCGCTTACGTGTTATATAGACGTGCGCTGACATAACAGCACAGGCGTGGCACGAGTATAATCCTTCATATCATGGATGTTAAAATTACCATTTTCTCTGTATGCTGGTTCAGTTTAGTCTTTGCAACCTTCAAATGCATGACCATTAAACGACATGGTCCTCAGCATGCTTTCCTCTGAACATCCCATCAGCGACAACACACTCTACATCACACTCTAACAGGGTGTCTGGATATTCCCCTGGGATTCGGGACACACACATTAGGAAAGACTGTCGGGTAGTTTGTTTTTGTTCCATGGAAGAATCGTTAGTTTCACACCTCTTCTGGTTCGGGTTCTTTATTATAAATCGTCTTTTCCCTATAGATGACTTCCTCACTCTCCCTGTCTATCAATAGTAAGATGGCGGCACCGAACATGAAGATGGCTGACCCCCAGCCAACCCCGTATGCCCAGCCGAACTCCCATTTGTGGTGAGAGCGTTCTAGACTTACTTCTTCCAGAAACTTCACGGGGAAGATGATGAGAGCGATGACTTCAAACAAAGCTGAAACATTCAATTTGCAAATGATTATGCTGGAAATGAGTTTGTTCACATAGTGATATACCATTTGAATAGTTCCCCGTCGTGGAATATATTATTAAACTTGAGTAAAAACATAAGAGAAGTATACCAAGTATACAAACGAACCAAGTGTAGCAGGCGCATTGCATTACAGGATCTGAGATTTAAATTTACCCAAACTTCTAATTTTCACAAAATCAGAATTCACACCAGTATCAATAAATTATTTCAAAGGGGGACCTAATGTGGATATGGGCGATGGGGTCCGCGTGAGCGTGTGTTTATGAGTGGGCGTGGGAGTGGGTTTTTGAGTGGGCGTGGGCGTGGGCGTGGGCGTGGGCGTAGACCGTGGTTTGAACGTGACTGTGGGTGAGGAAGTGGACGGGGACGTGGATGAGGACAATGCTGTAGGTGCGGTTGTGATTGTGGATGTGGAGGGTCACTGGCAAAGATACAAGTTCAACTTAGGGTGCGGGTGTGATTGTGGAGGTAGATGTGGGCGTAGGCGTGGGCGTAGGCGTGGGCGTGGGCGCGGATGCGAGTTCGAGTGCGGGTGAGGGTATGGATGCGAGGGCGATTGCGAATGCGAGTGGACTGGTCTCAGTTTTTCCTTAAAGATTTCAAGACCATAATGTACTTCATATTCCTTCAACGCAGGCATGATCATTGTTTAATGGAGGGACGAGCTGCGAAAAATAAAAACGAATTCTCGAACGAGTATGTACCCAAATTAGTTTCACAAGATAATGGATACGTATGATCTAGGCCTGAAAATCAGTTTTAGCAATTGTGCCCGCGGGGTTCATATCCTGCATGAGCGCCAGTTTTAAGCAATTAGGTTTTTTTATTGGATCAGCAAAACAAAGGACACCAGTTGCATGACTGACTCGTGTAAAGGCCATGCGACGTACATGCTGCATCACTCTACACACGTTCATTAGATGGAAGATAATCTGAAAGCTGTTATCATCTTGTCAATCACATGTAAGCAATCCCATTACCGTTACAACCGAGGCTTTCATTTCCTGTCAACTATTTGCCGCTAATGATGCTACGAGATCAATGTGGCCTAAAAACCAACTGCTAGTATCCACAAATGTTCTGGTAATGAACTAAAAAGGTCAGCCTTAGAAGGAATTCCTAAATGTGTCTCAGTAATGATTTCGTTTAATATTCGGTATGACCCTAGGTATGCTTTCCTCTGACTGCTCGATCAGCCACAATGGATGTCCCAGGGGTCTGAGGCGCTGCTATTCGCTGTGCAGAGTTGCTTCCCTTAGGGATCCCAGGGTCCGCTGATTTCAGGTTGGAACCTCAGCTTCGCTCTGATAATGGTTCTAGGTAATATTGGCAATGTACGCCACCTGCTCATAGTCTACAGAAGCACACACAAACACATACGTACACATTAAGATACAGCACTTAGGTTGTTTTGGAAGCAGATAATGACTACGTAAGTCTCTGGCTTTACATGTCAAAAGCTATTAAAAAGACATCATAAGGTAATGATGTGTTTTGGCTTCATCGCTAGGACGGTGATGAATGTGATACACTTCCTTATGACTGGCGCACTTGTCAGAGGCTTCGGGAGAAAGACTTGATAAGTTATTTCTGAAGGTACTATCTCATTTTCCATGCTCAAGTAATCTTAATTATGCCATTTACTGGCGAATTGGTGACATTACCATACTCGTTGAGGCGATTATATGTAGATATGGAACCATGTCCTTTTTTTAAAAAATATGTCCGGCAAACTGTATTCCGTTTATAATGTCCGCGATGAATGATATTTGATAATTACTTCATTGTATTTATTGGGTTTCTAATATATGGACTAGATTCCCCATCGTAGTCAAGGTTCAATTCGAAATGGGAGCTTGTGTAGTCTAGAATGTTACTCCTCTAAAGATTCGTAGAGTAATGTATTGTTAGTTTTATCGAAAAGCCGCTCTGAGCTTAACTGAAGGGGGATTGAACATTGTTGTTAGCGTGATGTTGCTGACTGTGACTGACGTCATGGCGGCTTGAACACAGACCACCGTGGACCAGCGACACCATTTGCTGGGTGCTTCAACATTGCCGGTTAGAAAATGACGCAAGTCACACGTGTTTCGCAGCCAATCCCCATTTCAGTCAGATGTCAGGATTACCTTAATTTTGATACAGTGGAACTAGTCTGTTGGGACTTAAAGTCCTCATAAACCGGTTGGATCGATACCTTTCCGTGAATGCCCCAAACGTTTCCCATTAGAAGTATGAATAATGAACCATTCTGACAGTGACATAAAGTAGCAGGTGACCTCACATATGCCCAATACAGAGCAACCTTCTCCTGTGTTACAATCTAGCCAACTTCATAACAAAGTGACCGCCTCCGTGGTCTAGTGGTAGAGCGTCCGCCCGGAGAGCGGAGGGTCCGCGGTTCGATCCCTGTCCGCGTCATACCAAAAGACGTTAAAAGATGGTACGTGTTGTTCCCTGTCTGGCGCTCGGCATTAAGGGGCTAAATCAAATTATGGTCGGCTCGGTATACTGTGTCTGAGTGGGGTATTCATGTTAAACTGCGGCATGATATCTCAGTGAGCTAGCACTGTAAACCGGCATCAGTCCGGACTAGTACAAGCACACACACACACACGTGCATGCACATCGCTATATAAGTGTAATAATCTTGGACGCGACGTTAAACCCAATTTCACCTCACCTCATAACAAACTTCCGGTTTATCAAAGCACACCTTTGAAACAGAAAGCCCTATGCCTCTAGCTACCGTAATAGCAAAGTTATAATTTCTTCCGTTTTATGACCTTGACCTTCTATCTCAACCATGAACTGCCTAGATAAAATGTACATGAATTGTCAAATTCCAGTTATGTTCACATGAAATGGGGATCGCGGGTGAGCGGCACATGATGTGCACATGTTGATAATAAAACCCCAAAATACTGCGTGACATTCGGCTGCACTGTCCGCCCAACCCCCCTCCCCCAATCCACCCGATATCCTTTTAGTGACAAAGATTTCATGCATTAAACTGGGTGCAACCAATTCGACTTGTCTGCCAACATAATTTCACAACCAACAATAAAATCCGTCATAAATCAAATAGCGATGTGTCTAAACCGAATGAAAATAATAATGAAGTTGACCAACTTCCAACACTTACCTGCTATAAACATGATAGACAAAGCTGCTTTGTAATATGTGTACTTGGAGCGGAAATTGTCCGTCCTTAATCCTATACACGCCACTACAATGGAGACGAGACAGGTGGCTAGCGACAGCAAGCACATTGTCCTGCACGCCTGGATCCATGCTGAAATTAAAACATAAAACTGTAGTAAGCAGAGTGTCCGTGTATGATTCAAGACTCTTTTGAAAAGGAACGTATCTTTATAATGTATACTTTAGGACAAAATAAAGTATGGACATGTTTGATGGTGTCTAAAACTTTAACAAGGAATGGTTATTCAACGATAATGTATTTGATTCGGGAAACAAGGTTTGCAGTATTTCGGAGTCTGTTTTCAGCCAACTCACGTTTATGACGTTTGTAAGTTTTGGGTTAAATCCCAGTTTTCAAGTATATACTTTCTTTTGCTCGGCACTTTATTTATCTATTGAAGACAAGTATTCGGTGAATTTCTGAACCATATGTACGTATTAAGAAAAGGGAATCTTACTATGTATTGACTGTCGTGATATAATGGGGTGTTGTGAAAACAGTATTATGAAACAGTACATGGCAGTTGGTAACAAGAAGCTGGAATATTGCTGAGTGCGGCATAACACAACACAAAAAACAAACTGTTCGTTACATCGCTATGGTACAGTATGTAACGTTGAATGACTGGTATGACATGGTATGTTGAATATCTATGGTGTAAAATGGCATGTCGATGGTATAATATGGTACGTTGAATGGTTTTATCTGACATGTTGAATTACTATGGTATAATCTTGTTTTTCGAATGCGTGATGTAGAAACAAATTATTGAGTGGCTTTAGTATAATCTGGCATATTGAATGGCAATGGTATAATCGGGTACGTTGAATTTTTATGGTTTAATTTAGTTTGTCACCTGGCTGAAGAATAAACGGTATGTTGAATGGCTATGGTAAAAATTGGTAACTATGTTGAATGTCTATGACATAATCTGGAAACGGAACGTTGAATGGTTATGGCACAATTTGGTGTGTAGATTTACTGTGGTATAATCTGGTATGTTGAATTACTATGGTATAATCTGGTATTTTGAATGACTGCTCGTTACATGATGGTGGTACAGTATGTAACGTTGATTAATGGTATATGGTATGTTGACTAACTATGGTATAATGTAGTATTTTGAATGACTATGGTATAATCTGGTATTTTGAATGACTAGGGTATAATCCGGTATTTTGAATGACTATGGTATAATCTGGTACTTTGAATGACTATGGTATAATCTTGTATTTTGAATGACCATGGTAAAAATCTGGTATTTAGAATGACTATGGTATAATCTGGTATTTGAATGACAATGGTATAATCTGGTTTTGGTATATACTGGTGCATAATCAGCAATGTGATCACAGTTCGTTGGTACCCTTAGCTTCAACTGAGGCCATTCGGCACGGCACGGCACAGATACAACGGAGCCTGTCGATGGCTCCATCAACATATTTTGGTGATACAAAGAATATTAACTTTATTCAGCAGCACACATTAATCTATAATATCAATATTTCTTTTTTCCTTTTTGTTCATCTAATTTCTCACATATGTATTATTCCTCATTTAGAATTGTAATACCTTTGACGTGAGGCTTTATTAAGTGATAAAAAGAACCACATAATGTATTAACAGAATCCAAAATAGTACAGTCTGCAGGAATATCGGTGCTGACAAGTTAACCCGAGACATCTTGGTCCACATTATATAAATATGATATTTAATTTAGGTGGACACACATGTTGGTTAGTGGCATACTGCGAACCTTGAATGAATTCTTGATTATAGCGTTATATTTGGAAACAATGTTGGCCATTAATGGATCGTTAATCACCGCTGGCTCAGTGAAGCCAGAATCTAATTTGGAAGATTTGTGAAACCCTTGGACTATTAGGGATCTCTGCATATTTGCCTATATATTGAGGCATTAACGGACGAATCAACTCGATGCGAGCACGAGGTACCAACAAGCAGCGTTCTTCACCAGTGATCCTCGGGTCTTCGCTTTTATCTTGCACATTAAATGTGAATATCGTTCACATGTACACACAGGAATAACTTTGTGGTTTAACTTTAACGTTCAAATGCCGCACAAGTACTGTTCAGGTTTTATTATGAAACAGCAAAGCAGTCGCATCATGCCATTATGTTCGCGTTTGTAAATTGAGTTCTTTTTACAAATGTTAGTTAATGTTAGTTTAATTCATATGCTCTGTAATTCTCGCAATTTGAGTTGAACGGAGAACATTCATTAACAGATATGTTTAGTAGATGGTAGTAATTTGATAAAAGTTAAGAGACACAACTCTTTCCATACTTATGAGACATGGTATCTGATAAAGGTTCATTGCACGATTCCGACTTTATCATAATGATGTATCATGACACCTGGTGTTCGCGAAAAGGTGCGTGCATCTTGCCTCACCGGTGGCACCCGTCACAAACACAGGTAATTTGTTTACCTGGAGAAAACACGGGAACATGTGGCACAAGTCAAAATAGGCAATGTCATCTGACATCATTTTGGTCACAGATGCATCAGATTTGGCAATGTCCTCCACACGTCTACCATGATACATTTTAAAGGCTTTAATAAGGCCGTGAATGCTATAGTGAGTGAGTATGATTTAACGCCGCTTTTAGCAATATTCCAGCAATATCACATGAACCCATGTCGGGAATCGATCCCGGGTCTTCGGCGTGACGAGCGAACGCTTTAACCACCAGGCTACCCCACCGCCCCTCGTGAATGCTATAACCGGAATCAAAAGAACTTTTGAGCAAGAGTCATATGATGCTCTTGAAATCTTGCTCGTGGAAAGAGCATGCTCGTGTAACCTCAAAAGTAGTGAAATGTAGACACCAAAGGCAAAGAATATTGATCGAGATTAGCATATAAAGGTTTCTACAAATAAACAACAATGAAAAAGATTTCAAATTGTTTATGAACTGCGAAACAGAATACATTTGTTGTAAATGTGCCCGAGTTGATGAAAATCAGAGTTCTGTTTCCACAGCAGTAGTATCGTGTTCGTTTGTGACGTTATTTAAGGCAACTTCAATTTAAGAGTAACTTCGGTTACGTGTCCATTCCAGTGCTCTTGCAACATGGGCATCATCCCGACTTTCATATCACATAGATGAATAGCCTACAGCATTTCTCTTTGTGAATAATGTTTGGCATTAACTTTGCTCATTTTATGAAAACACTCAGAATTCTATACGAAAGAATTCGAAAGCCTCAGGACATTTCAACTTCAAAATAAGAATGTTCAACACCGAATATATCCGGGGATTTAAGTGCAGAGTACCGATCGCAGTGATCGACAGTTACACGAAGTTTTATTTCGAGTGTGTTGTGAGCGTGCGTGTGCGTGTTCATATGCGCGTGCATGTGCATATGCCTGTATATGTATATATACGCGTGTCCGTGTACATATGCGTGTCCGTGGACATATACATGTGCGCGTACATATGCGTGTGCATGTACATATGCGTGTCCGTGTACATATGGGTGTCCGTGTACATATGCATGTGTGACATATTGTGTGTATATATATGAGTGTATATGTGCGTGTGCGTGTACATAAGCGCGTGCGTGATCATATATATATGTGTGTATAAATACGTGTGCGTGTACATATACGTGTGCATATATATATGCATGTTCGTGTACATGTGCGCGTTCGTGTATATATGCGTATGCGTGTACATACGCGTGTGCACGTATACATACGTGTGCGTGTACATATCCGTGTGGTGTACATATACGTATGTGTGTACATATACTTGTGCGTGTATGTGTACGTGTGCGTGTACATATACGTGTGTGTATATATACGTGTGCGTGTATGTGTACGTGTGCGTGTACATATACGTGTGTGTATATATACGTGTGCGTGTACATATGCGTGTGCGTGTACATATACGTGTGTGTATATATACGTGTGCGTGTATATATGCGTGTGCGTGTACATATACGTGTGCGTGTACATAAACGTGTGTGTACATATACGTGTGCGTGTACATATACGTGTGCGTGTACATATACGTGTGTGTATATATACGTGTGCGTGTACATATACGTGTGTGTGTACATATACGTGTGTGTATATATACGTGTGTGTACATATACGTGTGCGTGTACATATACGTGTGCGTGTACATATACGTGTGTGTACATATACGTGTGTGTGTACATATACGTGTGTGTATATATACGTGTGCGTGTATATATGCGTGTGCGTGTACATATACGTGTGCGTGTACATATACGTGTGTGTATATATACGTGTGCGTGTACATATACGTGTGTGTATATATACGTGTGCGTGTACATATACGTGTGTGTATATATACGTGTGCGTGTACATATACGTGTGTGTATATATACGTGTGTGTATATATACGTGTGCGTGTACATATACGTGTGCGTGTACATATACGTGTGTGTATATATACGTGTGCGTGTACATATACGTGTGTGTACATATACGTGTGCGTGTATATATACGTGTGCGTGTACATATACGTGTGTGTACATAAACGTGTGCGTGTATATATGCGTGTGCGTGTACATATACGTGTGCGTGTACATATACGTTTGTGTACATAAACGTGTGCGTGTATATATACGTGTGTGTATATATACGTGTGCGTGTACATATACGTGTGTGTATATATACGTGTGCGTGTACATATACGTGTGTGTACATATACGTGTGCGTGTACATATACGTGTGCGTGTACATATACGTGTGCGTGTACATATACGTGTGTGTATATATACGTGTGTGTATATATACGTGTGCGTGTACATATACGTGTGCGTGTATATATGCGTGTGCGTGTACATATACGTGTGCGTGTACATATACGTGTGCGTGTATATATACGTGTGCGTGTACATATACGTGTGCGTGTACATATACGTGTGTGTACATATACGTGTGTGTGTACATATACGTGTGCGTGTATATATGCGTGTGTGTACATATACGTGTGTGTGTACATATACGTGTGCGTGTATATATGCGTGTGTGTACATATACGTGTGTGTGTACATATACGTGTGCGTGTACATATACGTGTGCGTGTAC